GATGATACAGCTCATGAAAGAGATAGGCATAAGACAACAGAGAACAGAAAGTGGGGAGTTGTTTCATTCCAAGGCATAAGACAACAGAGAACAGAAAGTGGGGAGTTGTTTCATTCCACTGCATAGGAAGTGATGGACAATAAATACTCTATGAACATTGTCAGGGAGGGAGTTGGAGGTACATTACATGATTAAAAGTATGCGGACACCTGCTCGTCTAACATCTCATTACAAAATCATGGGCATTAATATGGAGTTGGTCCCCCTCTTTGCTGCTATAACAGCCTCCACTCTTCTGGGAAGGCTTTCCACTAGATGTTCGAACATTAATGCGGGGACTTGCTTCCATTCAGCCACAAGAGCATTAGTGAGTTCGGGCAGTGATGTTGGGCGATTAGGCCTGGCTCGTAGTTGGCGTTCCAATTCATCCCAAAAGTGTTCGATGGGGTTGAGGTCAGGGCTCTGTGCAGGACAGTCAAGTTCTTCCACACCGATCTTGACAAACCATTTCTGTATGGACCTCGCTTTGTGCACGGGGGCAGTGTCATGCTGAAACAGGAAACGACCTTCCCTAAACTGTTACCAAAAAGGAAGCACAGAATCGTCTAGAATGTCATTGCATGCTGTAGCGTTAACATTTCCCTTCATTGGAATTAAGGGGTTTAGCCCGAACCATGAAAAACAGCCCCAGACCATTAAACCTCCTCCACCAAACTTTACAGTTGGCACTATGCATTCGGGCAGGTAGTGTTCTCCTGGCATCTGCAAAATCCAGATTCGTCCATCGGACTACCAGATGGTGTTTCCACTGCTCCAGAGCCCAATGGCAGCGAACTTTACACCACTCCAGCCGACGCTTGGCATCGCGCATGGTGATCTTAGGCTTGTGTGCTGCTGCTCGGCCATGGAAACCCATTTCATGAAGCTCCCGACGAACAGCTCTTGTGCTGACGTTGCTTCCAGAAACCGTTTGGAACTTGGTAATGAGTGTTGCAACCGAGGACAGGAGATTTTTACTCGCTATGCGCTTCAGCACTCGGCGGTCCCGTTCTGTGAGCTTGTGTGGCCTACCACTTTGCGGCTGAGCCGTTGTTGCTCCTAGATGTTTCCACTTCACAATAACAGCACTTACAGTTGACCGGGGCAGCTCTAGCAGGGCAGAAATTTGACGAACTGACTTGTTGGAAAGGTGGCATCCTATGACTGTGGTAAAAGTGGCAAAAGTCACAAGGTGGCAAAAGTCACTGCCATTCTACTGCCAGTGTTTGTCTATGGAGATTGCATGGCTGCGTGCTCAATTGTATACACCTGTCAGCAACGGGGTGTGGCTGAAATAGCCGAATCCACTAATTTGAAGGGGTGTCCACATACTTTGTATATACAGTGTATATTAAGAAGATACAAGAGAACATAGAAAGTGTTAGAGGACAATATATTTGATATTGTCAGTGAGGTGGTTGTTTCCACCACGTGACCAGAAGAAGAGGAAACAGACCTGCTGGTCCTTTCTTCTTAATCTTCTTACTCTTGTTGCGCTGGTTGAGCTGAGAGAACGCCTCCGCAGCCTTCTGCAGCCGAGCCACAAAGACCTCAATGTCATCCAGGGCACAGTTCAGGATTTGCTGTCAGGGAACAGAGAAATAGAGAGAGAGAGAGAGAGATGAGAGATGAGAGATGAGAGATGAGAGATGAGAGATGAGAGATGAGAGATGAGAGATGAGAGATGAGAGAGAGAGAGAGAGGAGAGACAGAGAGGGAGAGATGAGAGAAAGTGGAATGATACCAAAGAGACTACTAAATAGCAAATGTCAAATCAAATCAACGTTTGTTGGTCGTGTACACAGTGTTCCAGAAGTTATCGCAGGCGCAGTGAAATGTTTCTAGCTCCAACAGTGCAGTGATATCTAGCAATACAATAACAACACAATAACAACACAATAACAACACAACAACAACACAATAACAACACAATAACAACAACAATAACAACAACAACAACACCACAATAACACAACAATAACACAACAATAACAACACAATAACACCACAATAACAACACAATAACACAACAATTACACAATAACACCACAATAACAACAACAATAACGATACAATAACAACAATAACAACAACAATAACAACACAATACACACAATCTAAAGAGTCCAGAATATAAATAAATATATGCTCTATATGTTTGTGAATGGTGTGTATAGACAGAATAGAATCTAGTGGAATATGAAGAGAACAGGTGATGTTCAGCAGTAGTTATATAGGATGAGCCATGATTAGAATACAGTAGATAGATATAAAGCTGGGTAAAACAGCATGTAAACATTATTAAAGTGACCAGTGTTCCACCTTCTTCACCAGGCTGTTGGTGTGAAGGGACCCTTTCAAGTCCTCAGTGATGTGTACGCCGAGGAACTTTAAGCTTTCCACCTTCTCCACTGCGGCCCCGTCAATGTGGATGGGGGGCGTGCTCTCTCTGCTGTCTCCTGTAGTCCACGATCAGCTCCTTCGTTTTGTTGGCGTTTAGGGAGAGGCTATTTTCCTGGAACCAGGGCTCTAACATCTTCCCTGTAGGCTGTTTTGTCACTGTTGGTAATCAGGCCTGCCACTGTTGTGTCGTCTGCAAACTTGATGATTGAGTTGGAGGCGTGCTTGGCCACGCAGTCATGGGTGAACAGGGAGTACAGGAGGGGGCTGAGCACGCACCCTTGTGGGGCCCCTGTGTTGAGGATTAGTGTTAGTGGAGGTGTTGTTTCCAACCTTCACCACCTGGGGGGGCGGCCCGCGGTTCAGACGCAGGGCCCTTAGCTTAGTCATGAGCTTGGAATGCACTTGGGTGTTGAAGGCTGAGCTGTAGTCGATGAACAGCATTCTTACATAGGTATTCCTCTTGTCCAGATGGGATAGGGCAGTGTGCAGTGCGATGGCGATTGCATCGTCTGTGGATCTATTGGGGCGGTATGCAAATTGTAGTGGGTCTAGGGTGTCAGGTAAGGTGGAGGTGATATGATCCTTAACTAGCCTCTCAAAGCACTTCATGATGACAGAAGTGAGTGCTATGGGGCGATAGTCATTTAGTTCAGTTACCTTTGCTTTCTTAGGAACAGGAACAATTGGTGGACATTGTTACGTGTGACATGTTTTTCTTTCTCCCAATCTTCCTTTGTCGTGTGTGTGTGTGGTTCAGAGTGGTTGTTTTGTTTGTGTGTTCTGGTCATTACAGGTGTGCTGAGTTGCGGCTGACGATGGTGGGCGTGGCTTCGGTCCGGAGTCCTGGCAGCTGTGGCTGATTGACCAGAGTATAAACTGTTTGACTGTTTGAGAATTTGGTTATTGGTTGTTTTAATTGATCTTTGTTTGTGTTCCAGCCTGTCCTCCTGCTGTATTCCACCCTACCTGGGTCCTGGAGAAGGGAAAGGTAGATCTGCCCATGGGTGTACATTCACACGTAGATAACCCACTGTTTTACACACTAGGTTAGCCGGGCGGGTGTCACCCCTGTATTTGTGGTAACAGGTAGGAAAGCGGGTTAGGGCTTAGAGTGTGTTAGGAAGGATTAGGTGTGTAGAAGAGGAGGGACCTTTTGTTTATTTTCATTACTTGGACCCCGTTCCCAAACATTCCCTTCTCTTACCTTCCCTGGTTTGTTTGACTGGTCTTTGTTGTATTACTGTTAAATGGGTGCTGTATATTAATTTTGTTTAATTACCTTACTAAACATCCCCAGAGGGCTAACATTGAGTTCTGGTTGTTGTCTGGTTATTTTAGTTCATTACACCCCACATTTCTTCCCCACCCATCTAGTTTACATTGTGTGCGTAGGCACGGGCATTTACGTCTCCTCCTCAGACGAGCTACACCCGAGGGGAGAACGTAACACATGCATATTATTAATGTTAGCTCTCTGTGTTCTGAACGTAACAGACATCTTGAAGCAAGCAGGGACAACAGACTGGGATAGGGAGAGATTTACTATGTCCGTAAACACTCCAGCCAGCTGGTCTGCACACGCTCTGAGAACGCGGCTTGGGATGCCGTCCGGGCCGGCAGCCTTGCGAGGGGTTTAACACGCTTGAATGTTTTACACACGCAGGCCATGGAGATCGGGAGCACACAGTCCTCGTGAACGGCGGGGGCCCACGTCGGCAGCTAAGTGTTGTTTTCCCCCGAAGCGGGCAAAGAAGGTGTTTAGCTTGTCCGGGAGCAAGACATCGGTGTCCGCGACGTGGCTGGCATTCCCTTTATAACTGGGAGTGTCTGGAGTCCCTGTATTCCCAGAGGTCGACCCCGAACATTTCCCAGTCCGCGTGATCAAAACAGTCTTCAAGCATAGATTACGATTGGTCAGACCAACATTTTACAGTCCTTACCACGGGTGCTTCTTGCTTAAGTTTCTGCCTATAGGTGGGGAGTAGCAGATGGAGGTGTGGTCTGATTTGCCGACGGGAGGATGGGGGAGGGCCTTGTAGCCATCCCGGAAGGGAGAGTAACAATGGTCAAGCGTGTTCTCTCCGCGTGTAGCACAGGAGATGTGTTGACAGAATTTGGGTAGAGTTTTCCTCCGATTTCCTTTATTAACGTCCCCAGCCAGAATGAATGCGGCCTCAGAATATGCAGGTTTCCAGTTTACACAAAGTCCAGTGTAGTTCCTTGAGAGCCATCGTGGTGTCGGCTTTGGGGGGTGGAATATACATGGCATTGAAAATAATATATCCGTGAAACAGAGTATGTTACAGTCCCTGATGTGTCTCTCTTAAAGGAGATCCTCGCCCTGAGCTCATCTAGTTTATTGTCCGGCGACTGAACGTTAGCGTGTAATATACTCGGAAGCGGTGGATGGTGTTGCTCGCCTCCTGAGTCTGACTGGGACCCCACTCCTCCTCCCTCTTCTCCGGCGTCTACATGTTAGGGTGAATGAATGAATGGGTCTGCATCAGAGAGTCCAAACAAAGGATCCAGGTCAGGGAAGACGAATTTCCGGTTGAATTTCCGGTTGAAGTGACCGCCGATCTGATGTCCCAAAAGTTATTTTCGGTAAAGTTATTAAATAATAAAGTTATTTATCAGGTAATAATACTAGAAAACCGTTCTGGGCAAATAATGTAAGAAATAACAAAAATAAATTAAAACCACTGCAAAGTTGTCTAGGAGGTAGAAACAAGGTGACCAGGTCTGTTGGTGCCATCTCGTACTACATCTTGTAAAAGCGCTTTGGGCATCATGAAAAATCCAATCAATTAATAGTATTAATAATAGCATTATATTAGTATTGTATTGATAACAGTGTCACTCACCACGTCCTTCTCAACGCGCTGGACCAGCTTTTCATGGGACTCTGGGTCCTGCTGGGCCGAACCTCGCCTCTCCACATCTGAAATAATGATAACAGTTATGGTTGTTGTTGACGTTGTTTTGTGTGTGTATCAGTGTGTGTGTGTGTGTGTGTGTGTGTATCAGTGTGTGTGTGTGTGTGTGTGTGTGTTACAGTGTGTGTGTGTGTGTGTGTGTGTGTGTGTATCAGTGTGTGTGTGTGTGTGTATCAGTGTGTGTGTTACAGTGTGTGTGTGTGTGTGTGTGTATCAGTGTGTGTGTGTGTGTGTGTGTGTGTGTGTGTGTGTGTGTGTTACAGTGTGTGTGTGTTACAGTGTGTGTAGCCTCACCATACGGACCTTGACTCCTGGGGCTTAGCACTTGGGGTGTGTCTGTGTGCTACAGACGTTCGTTTTTTCTCCGCAAGGATATGACCATACTGATATGACCACACTGATATGACCATCCTGATATGACCACCCTGATATGACCACCCTGATATGACCACCCTGATATGACCACACTGATATGACCACCCTGATATGACCACCCTGATATGACCACCCTGATATGACCACACTGATATGACCATACTGATATGACCACCCTGATATGACCACCCTGATATGACCACCCTGATATGACCACCCTGATATGACCACCCTGATATACAGTTGAAGTAACAAGTTTACATACACTTAGGTTGGAGTCAACCAACCAATGGTGCCGGAGAAGATAACTGCCGTTTTACAGCCCTCTAACCAATTGTACTATAATGTGTGTTTTTTCGCGTTATTTGTAATTTATGCTGTACATAATGTTTCTGCCATCGTCTTTTATAACCAAAAATAGCTTCTGGATATCAGGACAGCGATTACTCACCTCGTATTGGACTAAGATTTTATCTTCAACGAGTCGGACGCGAAGAATATCCTACAGACACCCGACAAGGCCCAAATCCCCGTCATTCACAGGAGAAAGAGACAGAGATATCGTGGACGTAGATCGGGGTGCCTTGTAAGGATCCGACGGCGAGCGAGTAAACTGCCTCTTCCATCAAACCTATTAGCCAATGTTCAATCATTTGAAAATAAATTAGATTACCTAATATTACGGTTATCCTACCAACGGGACATTAAAAACTGTAATATCTTATGTTTCACCGAGTCGTGGCTGAACGACGACATGGACAACATACAGCTGACGGGATATACGCTACATCGGCAGGATAGAACGGCTGACTCCGGTAAGACAAGGGGTGGCGGTCTGTGTATATTTGTAAACAACAGCTGATGCACAAAATCTAATACTAAGGAAGTCTCGAGGTTTTGCTCGCCTGAGGTAGAGTATCTTATGATAAACTGTAGACCACACTATTTACCAAGAGAGTTTTCATCTATATTTTTCATAGCTGTCTATTTACCACCACAAACCAATGCTGGCATTAAGATTGCACTCAATGAGCTGTGTAAGGCCATAACTAAACAGGAAAACGCTCATCCAGAGGCAGCGCTCCTAGTGGCTGGGGACTTTAATGCAGGGAAACTTAAATCCGTTCTACCTAATTTCTACCAGCATGTTAAATGTGCAACCAGAGGAAAAAAAACTCCAGACCACCTTTACTCCACACACAGAGACGCGCTCTCCCTCGCCCTCCATTTGGCAAATCTGACCATAACTCTATCCTCCTGATTCCTGCTTATAAGCAAAAACTAAAGCAGGAAGCACCAGTGACTCGGTTAATAAAAAAGTGGTTAGATGACGCAGTTGCTAAGCTACAGGACTGTGTTGCTAGCACAGACTGGAATATGTTCCGGGATTCTTCAGATAGCATTGAGGAGTACGCCACATCAGTCACTGGCTTCATCAATAAGTGCATCGATGACGTCATCCCTACAGTGACTGTACGTACATACCCCAACCAGAAGCCATGGATTACAGGCAACATCCGCACTGAGCTAAAGGGTAGAGCTGCCGCTTTCAAGGAGCGGGACTCTAACCCGGACGCTTATAAGAAATCCCGCTATGCCCTCCGACGAACCATCAAACAGGCAAAGAGTCAATACAGGACTAAGATTGAATCGTCCTACACCGGCTCTGACGCTCGTCGGATGTGGCAGGGCTTGAAAACTATTACAGACTACAAAGGGAAGCAGAGCCGCGAGCTGCCCAGTGACACAAGCCTACCAGACGAGCTAAATCACTTCTATGCTCGCTTCGAGGCAAGCAACACAGAAGCATGCATGAGAGCGTCAGCTGTTCCGGATGACTATGTGATCACGCTCTCCGTAGCCGATGTGAGTAAGACTTTTAAGCAGGTCAATATTCACAAGGCCGCAGGGCCAGACGGATTACCAGGACGTGTACTCCGAGCATGTGCTGACCAACTGGCAAGTGTCTTCACTGATATTTTCAACATGTCCCTGACTGAGTCTGTAATACCAACATGTTTCAAGCAGACCACCATAGTCCCTGTGCCCAAGGACACTAAGATAACCTGCCTAAATGACTACTGACCCGTAGTACTGACTTCTGTAGCCATGAAGTGTTTTGAAAGGCTGGTCATGGCTCACATCAACACCATTATCCCAGAAACCCTAGACCCACTCCAATTTGCATACCGCCCCAACAGATCCACAGATGATTCAATCTATATTGCACTCCACACTGCCCTTTCCCACCTGGACAAGAGGAACACCTACGTGAGAATGCTATTCATTGACTACAGCTCAGCGTTCAATACCGTAGTGCCCTCAAAGCTCATCACTAAGCTAAGGATCCTGGGTCTAAACACCTCCCTCTGCAACTGGATCCTGGACTTCCTGACGGGCCACCCCCAGGTGGTAAGGGTAGGTAACAACACATCTGTCACACTTATCCTCATCACGGGGGCCCCTCAGGGGTGCGTGCTCAGTCCCCTCCTGTACTCCCTGTTCACCCATGACTGCATGGCCAGGCACGACTCCAACACCATCATTAAGTTTGCCGACGACACAACAGTGGTAGGCCTGATCACCGACAACGATGAGACAGCCTATAGGGAGGAGGTCAGAGACCTGGCCGTGTGGTGCCAGGATAACAACCTCTCCCTCAACGTGACCAAGACCAAGTGTATCAGTGTGTGTGTGTGTCAGTGAGTGTGTGTGTGTGTCAGTGTGTGTGTGTGTATCAGTGTGTGCATCAGTGTGTGTATCAGTGTGCGTGTGTATCAGTGTGTGTATCAGTGTGTATCAGTGTGTGCATCAGTGTGTGTGTGTGTGTATCAGTGTGTGTGTATCAGTGTGTGTGTGTGTATCAGTGTGTGTGTGTATCAGTGTGTGTATAAGTGTGTATCAGTGTGTGTATAAGTGTGTGTGTATCAGTGTGTGTGTGTATCAGTGTGTGTATCAGTGTGTGTATCAGCGTGTGTGTCTGTGTGTATCAGTTTTTTCAAAACACTTTTTTGTTGTTGTTGTTTTATTTTACTTTTTTATGGAAAGAAAATGCATTGTTGGTTAAGGGCTGTAAGTAAGCATTTCACGGTAATGTCTACACCTGTTGATTTGATTTTAAAACTCGTTTTTCAACCACTCCACAAATTTCTTGTTAACAAACTATAGTTTTGGCAAGTCGGTTAGGACATCTACTTTGTGCATGACACAAGTCATTTTTCCAACAATTGTTTACAGACAGATTATTTCACTTATAATTCACTGTATCACAATTCCAGTGGGTCAGAAGTTTACACACACTAAGTTGACTGTGCCTTTAAACAGCTTGGAAAATTCCAGAAAATGATGTCATGGCTTTAGAAGCTTCTGATAGGCTAATTGACATCATTTGAGTCAATTGGAGGTGTACCTGTGGATGTATTTCAAGGCCTACCTTCAAACTCAGTGCCTCTTTGCTTGACATCATGGGATAATCAAAAGAAATCAGCCAAGACCTCAGAAAGTAGACCTCCACAAGTCTGGTTCATCATTGGGAGCAATTTCCAAACGCCTGAAGGTACCACGTTCATCTGTACAAACAATAGTACGCAAGTATAAACACCATGGGACCACGCAGCCGTCATACCTCTCAGGAAGGAGACACGTTCTGTCTCCTAGAGATGAACGTACTTTGGTGCGAAATGTGCAAATCAATCCCAGAACAACAGCAAAGGACCTTGTGAAGATGCTGGAGGTAAACAGGTACAAAAGTATCTATATCCACAGTAAAACAAGTCCTATATCGACATAACCTGAAAGGCCGCTCAGCAAGGAAGAAGCCACTGCTCCAAAACCGCCATAAAAAAGCCAGACTACGGTTTGCAACTGCACATGGGGACAAATATCGTACTTTTTGGAGAAATGTCCTCTGGTCTGATGAAACAAAAATATAACTGTTTGGCCATAATGACCATCGTTATGTTTGGAGGAAAAAGGGGATAACTTGCAAGCCGAAGAACACCATCCCAACCGTGAAGCACGGGGGTGGCAGCATCATGCTGTGGGGGTGCTTTGCTGCAGGAGGGACTGGTGCACTTCACAAAATAGATGGCATCATGAGGAAGGACGATTATGTGGATATATCGAAGCAACATCTCAAGACATCAGTCAGGAAGTTAAAGATTGGTCGCAAATGGGTCTTCCAAATGGACAATGACCCCAAGCATACTCCCAAAGTTGTGGCAAAATGGCTTAAGGACAACAAAGTCAAGGTATTGCAGTGACCATCACAAAGCCCTGACCTCAATCCTATATAAATTGTGTGGGCAGAACTGAAAAAGCGTGTGCGAGCAAGGAGGCCTACAAACCTGACTCAGTTACACCAGCTCTGTCAGGAGGAATGGGCCAAAATTCACCCAACTGATTGTGGGAAGCTTGTGGAAGGCTACCCGAAACGTTTGACCCAAGTTAAACAATTTAAAGGCAATGCTACCAAATACTAATTGAGTGTATGTAAACTTCTGACCCACTGGGAATGTGATGAAAGAAATCAAAGCTGAAATAAATAATTCTCTCTACTATTATTCTGACATTTCACATTCTTAAAATAAAGTGCTGATCCTAACTGACCTAAGACAGGGAATTTTTACTGGGATTAAATGTCAGGAATTGTGAAAAACTGAGTTTAAATGTATTTGGCTAAGGTGTATGCAAACTTCCGACTTCAACTGTAACTATACTGATATAACCATACTGATATAACCATCCTGATATGACCATCCTGATATGACCATCCTGATATGACCATCCTGATATGACCTTCCTGATATGACCTTCCTGATATGACCATCCTGATATGACCATACTGATATGACCATACTGATATAACCATCCTGATATGACCATCCTGATATGACCACACTGATATGACCACACTGATATGACCAACATGATATGACCACACTGATATGACCATCCTGATATGACCATACTGATATGACCATACTGATATAACCATCCTGATATGACCATCCTGATATGACCACACTGATATGACCACACTGATATGACCAACATGATATGACCACACTGATATGACCATCCTGATATGACCATCCTGATATGACCATCATGATATGACCATCATGATATAACCATACTGATATAACCACACTGATATGACCATCATGATATGACCATCCTGATATGACTATACTGATATAACCATACTGATATAACCATACTGATATGACCATACTGATATGACCATCCTGATATGACCATCCTGATATGACTATACTGATATAACCATACTGATATAACCATACTGATATGACCATACTGATATGACCATCCTGATATGACCACACTGATATGACCATCCTGATATGACCATACTGATATGACCATACTGTGAACACATTCAGGCCGTCTGATTGGTCCCAGAAACCGATGGGTTGGGCCAGAGGCAGAACACCAGTGGGTAAAGTGGCGTTTTCTAAGTATGCAATTGGCTTTGATACCGTGATTGGTTAGAGACGATCCAGTCGCTGATTACTTTGTTTTCACCGCAAATGACTTTCAACGATGGCAGATTCAGACTAAAATCTGTAGCGAACGACAGAGCAGTGTTAGAATGTAGTGTGAGGTGTCAGGCTACATGTGAGTGTGTGTGTCAGTGAGTGTATCAGTGTGTGTATCAGTGTGTGTATCAGTGTGTGTGTGTGTGTGTGTCAGCGTGTGTATCAGTGTGTGTGTGTCAGTGTGTGTGTCAGTGTGTGTAGTCTTACCCTGCATGTTCATGGCAGCCACACGGCCCTTGCCTCCTGGGGCCGGGCCCTTGGGGGCCGAGGAGGGAGGGAGGATGGACTCTCTGTGGCGCTTAATCTTCTCCTGGTTCACCCTGAGGGGAGGAGGAGGAGGAGAGGAGGAGGAGAAGAGGAGAGGAGGAGAGAGGAGGAGGAGGAGAGGAGAGAAGGAGAGGAGTGCAGGGTTTTAATCAATGGGGCTGGGGCACCCCAGTTAGAAATCAGGGCCCCTCCATAAGAATGGAAATATCACTATACTATACGCCCCCCTCCAACACAAATGTTTTAAAAGAGACGTCAGGCCTCCTCAAGAGGTAAGGGTTCTTACTTCAAGGTCTGTGGTCGCATCTTCTTCCCATGTTTGCTGTCACCCAGAGCACTGTCGATGTCTGCATGGACCATCTCTGCCTGTAGTGGACACAGACAAAAAGACACAGAGAATATTATTACATTAAAATTGTCTAAGGAGAAAGAAGACTGATTATATATATTGTTGGATATATGAATGATCTGTTCATTTAAAAGGTAAAACTTGAGGAAAGTTTTCGCTCAGTTTTCCATAGACTTTCAGTTCCTACGCCGCTAGCCTGGATCATGTCTGTACTGTCCATAGACTTCCAGTTCCTACGCCGCTAGCCTGGATCGTGTCTGTACTGTATATTGACTTCCAGTTCCTACGCCGCTAGCCTGGATCATGTCTGTACTGTATATTGACTTCCAGTTCCTACGCCGCTAGCCTGGATCATGTCTGTACTGTATATTGACTTCCAGTTCCTACGCCGCTAGCCTGGATCATGTCTGTACTGTATATTGACTTCCAGTTCCTACGCCGCTAGCCTGGATCATGTCTGTACTGTATATTAACTTCCAGTTCCTACGCCGCTAGCCTGGATCATGTCTGTACTGTATATTGACTTCCAGTTCCTACGCCGCTAGCCTGGATCATGTCTGTACTGTATATTGACTTCCAGTTCCTACGCCGCTAGCCTGGATCATGTCTGTACTGTATATTGACTTCCAGTTCCTACGCCGCTAGCCTGGATCATGTCTGTACTGTATATTGACTTCCAGTTCCTACGCCGCTAGCCTGGATCATGTCTGTACTGTATATTGACTTCCAGTTCCTACGGCGCTAGCCTGGATCATATATAGATAGCGGTGACCCACCTCAACCTCGTCACAGTGGAAGAAGTGTATGTCAGGTCGGTGCTGTTCGTTGTCTTGACACACCAGCAGTAGGACAGAGGGATACCTGGTCTGATTCAACACTGTCTGGCAGTGGTGGATCGTAGGCAGAGGGAAGTTCTCCAACTCTTCCTATGAGGGTGGCGAGGAGGGAGGGAGGGAGGGAGGGAGGGAGGGAGGGAGGGAGAGGAAGAGGGACAGAAGGGGAGGGAGGGAGGGAGGTGGAAAGAGAGAGAGATTATTCCATATCAAATGTGTCAGGTCATCAGTTTTCTTACCACAAAGGTCTAAAGGTCTGCAGTTCTGACTGCCAGTGGCTTGGCTCAGAAAATACATGCCCACGCCCACGCCCACGCAAATTTAGTCTTGACAGCCACAGGTTTCTTTTCTACGCATGACAGGAGTTTACAGGTCTTTTTTGTTCCAGCCCTTCACTAAACACCTAAATCAACTAAACGTGGTTTAGATTGAAGACTTGCAGTGAAATCCCCTTGGACAGAGATGACGTCTGCATTTTAAAATGAGCTTCATAAGTTACAATGTCTTGACAAATCTGCATGATAAACAATAACATGGGTGAATCTATTTCTATCGAACATTGTGATGTTGCACACTCCTGAATAATATCCTGGGATATGGTGATTATCGTGGTGGCTGGGAGGTTCACAACAAGTTATTTAGTGTCAGGGCGGGGATGTCCTTCAACCTGGAACAAGCAGAGAGAAGGGGCAGAAATTAACCTCACTGCTCAAATTACAATGCTGGTTCAAGTTGCTGAAGGCACAACTACCTTTATTAATGTGCAATCGGTTTGTTAACAGTTTTGCATATTATTTTAGGTATGGTCAAGTTGTTTACACTAAGATTATAATAACTTAGCCTATAATTTTAACTAGTAACACCAACCCCAATGGTGCAACACAATATGGGAAGGGAAAGTGTCAAGAGAAAGTTAGCAAACGTTAGCTAGGTAAACAGACACTGCACGCAGCTGGCTAGCTAAACAGACTCATCAACATAACTTACAAATAACTTGGCTGGCTTGCAAGCCTAGACTAACTAATTTTAACTGTTGTTAAAATGCAAATGAGCCGGGCAGGACTGTTTTCTCCTGCCAAGTCAATGCAATGGAGTGAAACGCAATCAGGTGTCCACTTTAGTCCCTGAAAACAAATTGGAAAAAACTATTTTCTATTTTTAGCTGGCTAGCAAGTTCACCAATTCATGATTTAAAAACTGCCCGGGTCTTACCAATTGAAACATTGCTGAATTTACAATTAGTTAATTTAGTTGTTCTTCTGTAAACAGCCGACAAGCAGGATGAGATCGCCTGCTAGCTAGCTATTGCATCCAAGGTGTTCACTAGCTAGCTAGCTTGAAAACTGGCTGATAAACACCAGTTACTAAACATTTGAATTCAAAATTCATAGCTGTGAAAGTAATTTGTTGAACATTTTAAAAATAATGTGGTGAATAATACTTACAGCAGTAGAGGCTGCTGAGGGGAGGACGGCTCATAATAATGGCTGGAACGGAGCCAGTGGAATGGCATCAAACACATGGAAACCATTTGTTTGATGCATTTGATACCATTCTACTCATTACGCTCCAGCCATTACCATGAGCCCGTCCTCCCCAAATAAAGGTGCCAACAACCTCCTGTGACTTACATTTCACTAAGTTATTCCTTATTCTTCTGGAAAATGTTCTCCCAAGCAGGGACTTCTGTCCTCCAGTAATTTCGGGGGGGTTTTTCCCCGCTGCTCCGCAAGGTGTTATGGGCCAGCCTCCCCGGCAAAGGATACATGGATCTTTCTATAAACTAGGGTACCAGTGAGCATTTCTCGTAGTGAACAACTGTTTGGAGCTGTTACCTAGTCATTAATAATAATTGAATACATTAAGATATAAAAGGGGGGGGGGGACATACAGTAGATAGATTCAATATAATTCATGAGATGAATCAAAACCTGTTTAACCTGTTTTTCACATACTTGGAGACTTCACAGTCTTGGCAAAAAACAAACTCCAGTGTAGATTTGGCCTTGTGTTTTACGTTATTATCCTGCAGAAAGTTGAATTTGTCTCCCAGTGTCTGTTGGAAAGCAGACTGCTTAGCTCTATTCCGTTTCTTTTTATCCTAAAAAACTCCCTAGTCCTTGCCGGTGACAAGCATACCCATAACATGTTGCAGCCACCACCATGCTTGAAAATATGAAGAGTAGTACTCAGTGATGTGTTGTGTTGGATTTGCCCCAAACATTACGCTTTGAATTCAGGAGATAAAGTTCATTTCTTTGCCACATTTTTTGCAGTTTTACTTTAGTGCCTTATTGCAAACAGGATGCATGTTTTGGAATATTTTGGAATTGGTAAAAGGGAGCATGATGTGTTGACATAATTGTAATCCAAACCCAACTTTCATTTAGATACACTCAGGTTCAAAACTCTGTTTTAGACGAAACTGACTTTATGACCAAAATTATCCTATTAACACTTTGTAGTCAATTTTGACACAAAAATAAATGTTTCTGACTCATATCGATGCCACTTCGGCCATTTTCAAGATAAATATCTGAATCATATCGATGCCACATCAGCCGTTTTCAAAATAAATGTTTCTGATTTATATCGATGCCACATTGACCGTTTTCAAAATAAAATGTTTCTCACTCATATCGATGCCACATCGGCCCGTTTTCAAAATAAATATGTCTTGACTCATATCGATGCCACGTCGGCCGGTTTCAAAGGGATTAGAGACAGTCATTCTTTAAAGAACAGTAAACCTCTAGGTCAGTGGTTCTCAACCTTTTTTTAGTTACTGTACCCCAAATCACATGTTGCTCTGCCCAGAGTACCACTTCATATGCATTTTACCAGTAGGCCTCATGGTCTCATGAGTCTACTGAAGAAACAGGGGTACTAGTACCCCCCATCTTAACAACCAGAGCGTCTACGGTAACAGTGATGAAATACAGTAGATTAGTGTAATTCTACAGTAAGAATATAGGTAGTGATGACCCAGCTCCAACCTGACTCTTGTTACAGGTTTAAAGTTTTTCCATTTACATTTACATTACATTTACATTTACATTTTAGTCATTTAGCAGACGCTCTTATCCAGAGCGACTTACAGTTAGTGAATACATATTTTTTTTTTTATACTGGCCCCCCGTGGGAATTGAACCCACAACCCTGGCGTTGCAAACGCCATGCTCTATCAACTGAGCTACATCCCTGCCGGCCATTCCCTCCCCTACCCTGGACGACGCTGGGCCAATTGTGCGCCGCCCATGAGTCTCCCGGTCGCGGCCGGCTGCGACAGAGCCTGGATTCGAACCAGGATCTCTAGTGGCACAGTTAGCACTGCGATGCAGTGCCTTAGACCACTGCGCCACTCAGGAGGATTTATGGTGGAGGTTGGACTTTAGCACGTATAGCTCGTTAGCACGTTGGGCGCGCCGATTTGGCGTCAACCTCGTTAGTCATTATGTGTTACACCTGTGCTGGTTGCCGTCTCCTTAGTGGGAAGGTGTTTGACCTGTGCTGGCCCAGGTGCTATTTAAGAGTGGCTGGCCCAGTGCTCCAGTTGTCTTGAGAGATGTGAAGGGTCAACGCCTTTATTTGGCGCGTTCTATTTGAGTTTTAGAAAAACGTTATTTTTGTCTGATCTTCCCTGTTTTTGTATTGCTCCACCATTTTGGTGTACTTCCTGTCTTCAAGTTTGGTGTGGGTTTTTATTTTTGTTTATTTAGTGGGCGCTCATGATAAGTATCTTTTAGGTTTCAGTTGTATTTCGTTTTGGTTGTTGCCAATGACTCTTTGTTAGTTCCTCCTTCTGTTTGAGTGGCATTATTTGGTGTTCTTGCTGGGGAACGTAACAAAAAATGGGGGCTCGTCCGGGATCTTGTTTCCCATGAGTATGGTAGTCGCTCTAATCACCTACTCTGAAGCTCTGCTGTGCCCAGATATTTGAGTGTTCAAAATACACTTGTGGTAGAGTTTTCTGTCACTGACATCCACCCTGAGGGGTTATAAGATTGGGAGAATCATTTTGAAAGTTCCATATGCACAGGCTAATTATCACACAGGCTAATTATCACACAGGCTAATTATCACACAGGCTAATAAAATAAAGCCAGGGACTTTAAGTTGGAAACATTTGTGGAAAAACTCTACATGGGAGATGCTAGATAAATGTGACCGACCGGCTCGATTTGGTCTTACGTAGCGACATTTTTAAAATTGAGTTTTTTATGTTGGATAAAAGTAGAGACTCAGAGCTAGAAAATTGTATATTGTATATCATACACTACAGTTGAGGAACAATGGGTAAAGTAATTCTGCTTTGCAAGTTGATAAACTTGTAACCCCACTTTTGAGAAAATGGCCCTTGAATGTTTTGGTACACCTACTGGAAAGCTCTTTGTCAGCACCCATTCAGAATCTTTCACACCTTTTTAAGCCTTAGCCCCACCCATCTCTTTAAGGATTCAGATGTGAGACCATGTGCTAAACAATGAGTACGGTAGTGTACTAAACAACCAACGATTTCAAGACTAAAGGCTGGTTTGTCTGTATACAGTTGTCACAGTGGCATCGTGAACATTCTATTGTCGTCCCGGCATCAAACTTCTCGTTATGAAAAAGTATAAACACAAAAACGACAGGATGCATGACATCAGAAGCCTGGGGGTCCAAAATAGCATAACTGGTGTATTTTAACACCAATAAACCCATCCGTTTAAAAATAAATTTGGTATATGTCAATCTAGCAAACCAGGAGACTAAAAGCAACTTTCTAAACAATGTTTTGGTTTGTTTCTAGCTTGTTAGCTAGCTAATGTTAAGTTAGCTGGCTAGCCAGTTCAAATAAGGACCATATCATATAGCTGACAACGTCTTAACTTTAGTTAATTTGTATTCATTATTACAGGAAAATAAACTCACAACAAGATCATTATTTACAAGTTAATGGCAAGCTAATTACAGAAAATAGCTTACCGTTGTGAGCTAGCTAGCTAACATTAGGCTATAACTAGCAATGCAAATGGCTCTGAGATACGAATAATATTACTACACAGATCATACACATAACGTTAGCTAGCTAGTCAGCCAGCCAGCTAACGTTAGCTAGCTAACAGTACGCTTTAACTTACAATGAAAACACATTTCTTACAAAATTAGAAATGTATAATATCTGAAAATGTTGCTAGCTAGACTATCTTACCCGTATACATGGATGAAAATGTATGCACTCACTAACTGTAAGTCGCTCTGGATAAGAGCGTCTGCTAAATGACTAAAATGTAATGAACGCTTCTCCCTCTCTGTCACGGATGCCATGGTTGCCCTTAGTTTGAAGATGTAATCCGGAGACAGGTGTTTTATACAACAGCCTTCTGTGTGTTCTCTTTTAGACTCCGTCTGCATATTTGCAATCAAATTCCAGAATTTTCTCCATCTCCTTAGCTATCATACTTTGCTTCCACCTGGGCATTCCACTGATTTCAAAACTCGATCCTCCAGAGAGTGGAGAGCCTTAGAAAACACTTTTGCAGTTCTACTATGTGATATCTTTCAAATAAGCCACGTTAGAAAGCCCATCCATTATCTCAGCCAATCATGGCTAGCGGGAAGGTTCCTGTCTTTGTCCGTGGCTAAACCAATTAGGCTCTTAATTTAACAATTTTATTCGTATTTACAGATGGCATACACGTTTGTTATTAATGCACATGAAAGTTCACATGTTCCAGAAGACAAAAATTGCATTTTTGATAAAATAAAATAAATTACATTCAAATGCCTCTTCTGTGAAGTAGTGATGCGCGACATACAGTATGCCTAGTTTCCTGAACCTAGTCTGGCAGCACGTTCTTGTTCCTGTTCTAGTTGTTTGGCTGCACGTTCTTGTTCCTGTTCTAGTCTGGCTGCACGTTCTTGTTCCTGTTCTAGTCTGGCTGCACGTTCTTGTTCCTGTTCTAGTCTGGCTGCACGTTCTTGTTCCTGTTCTAGTCTGGCTGCACGTTCTTGTTCCTGTTCTAGTTGTTTGGCTGCACGTTCTTGTTCCTGTTCTAGTCTGGCTGCACGTTCTTGTTCCTGTTCTAGTCTGGCTGCACGTTCTTGTTCCTGTTCTAGTCTGGCTGCACGTTCTTGTTCCTGTTCTAGTTGTTTGGCTGCACGTTCTTGTTCCTGTTCTAGTTGTTTGGCTGCACGTTCTTGTTCCTGTTCTAGTTGTTTGGCTGCACATTCTTGTTCCTGTTCTAGTTGTTTGGCTGCACGTTCTTGTTCCTGTTCTAGTTGTTTGGCTGCACGTTCTTGTTCCTGTTCTAGTTGTTTGGCTGCACGTTCTTGTTCCTGTTCTAGTTGTTTGGCTGCACGCCTCATCTTTGTTTCCCCTTGTGCTCGAGCTCTAATGTCTGTTGTTCCCATTTTTGCCTTTAGTTCTACCTCCGGCACGTCTACAGGACTCACCCTACTTCCCATAGGGACCCTTTTCATCATCCTCCCTCTCTGGAAGGATTTTATCCTCCACCAGAGCAGTTCCGATCAACTCTTTTGACTACTGCTTTTCGATCTCCAGATGCCACCTTGATTCGCCTTTTGTACATTTGTGACACAGAACAGGAACAAGAACAACGTGTGCATGCCATTTGATTGAAAGAGATGGAGCTGGAAGCGTGACAAAAGGAAGATAGATCTGGAAGTACTCCAAATCCAGTCAGGCCATCCTACACACTCAACAGAGTTTGATCTTGGTCGGAAAAGCCAGCTTGTACCGCCTTTCAACGAAAAGGAAGTGGGTGTATATTTTATTCTGCTTGAGCGGATTGCCATATCTCTAAAATGGCTGCGAGATATTTGGTCACTGCTCCTCCAAAAGTGTTCTTGTGGGGAAAAGCTCAGAAAGTGTTTGCCGCTTTATCTCTTAACCAGAGTTCAGATTATGACACTGTTAAAGCTGCTATCCTTCGGGCTTACGAGTTGGTCCCAGAGGCATTCAGACAACAGTTCCCTAAATTACGAAAAGCAGAATCACAAAGCCATGTTGAGTTCATAAGGGACTAAGAATGTAGTTTTGATCGGTGGTGTGGTTCTCAAGAGGTCAAGGACCTTGAGGATGTAAAGACACTCACACTTCTCGAGCAGTTCAAGAATTGCCTTCACAAAAGGGTTGCAACCTACATTTATGAGCACAAGGATCTCACTCTTGAGAGAGCTGCAGTTCTTGCAGATGAGTTTGTGTTGACACATAAAACTACCTTCACAAACTAAGCACCCAGTAGTTATCCTTACGTAAAAAACAATCCAGAGAAGTGAACTACTACGAGGTTTCCAGTCTTTTTCTACAGTGCCCAAAGATAAAGATCGGCAATAAACTAGTTTTTCGTATCCACCAGTTTGTCATTACAGCCGTGAGAAAAGACACATTGTCTCTCAGTGTCCTACGTTGAAACAGAAACATGACAGAGAAAAAAAAGCTGTTTCTTCTTGTGGGAGCACTCCAGCCCATTAAGTCCCTGGTTGAGACTGGTGTATCTCCTAAACAAGATTTTGGATCAGATGTGTATGAACCCATGGACCGCTGAAGGAAGAGAGTGTCCCTACAGTTGACACGTTGATGTCTAGGAAGCAGCTGATTGCTGAACAAAGTAAAGATGTTTCCCTCTTTTTGCTGAGACACGTCCAGAGGAGTATGATGAAGGTGTTCCAAATGAGGAAATTGCATTTTTGCGCCACTCCTGGGCAAGACGATTGGTCCAGTGTATCTCAAATTGACGTTCCAGTTACACTTGGACTAGAGATACTGAGGTTGGCTCACGATGGTAGTATGGCAGGCCATCTTGGGGTCAACAAGACGTATGACCGGTTGGCTCACGATGGTAGTATGGCAGGCCATCTTGGGGTCAACAACACGTATATGACCGTATCTTGCATAACTTCTACTGGTCTGGTCTGAAACCGGATGTTGTGGCTTACTGTAAATCCTGTCACGTTTGCCAGCGGATGGGTACCCCGAATCAAGCTGTGCCGGTTGCACCTTTATTTGTACCACCGTATTGGGTCATTGTCCTGTTGAAAAACGAATGATAGTCCCACTAAGCGAAACCAGATGGGATGGCGTATCGCTGCAGAATGCTGTGGTAGCCATGCTGGTTAAGTGTGCCTTGAGTTCTAAATCAATCACCGACAGTGTCACCAGCAAAGCACCCCCAAACCATCACACCACAACCACCATGCTTGACCTTTGGTATGACCTTCTTACTGTGGAATGCAGAGTTTGGTCCCAATTGAGATGTTGTGGCAGGACTTGAAACGAGCAATTCATGCTTGAAAACCCACACGTCACTGAGTTAAAGCAGTTCTGCATGGAAGAGTGGGCCAAAATTCCTCCACAGCGACGTGAGAGACTGATCAACAACTACAGGAAGCATTTGGTTGGAGTCATTGCAGCTAAAGGTGGCACAAACAGTTATTGAGTGTAAGGGGGCAATTACTTTTTCACACAGGGGAATTGGATGTTGCATAACTTTGTTTATGAAATATGTAATTGTTGTGTTATTTGTTCACTTATGTTCCCTTTATCTAATATTAGGTTTTGGTTGAAGATCTGATAACATTCAGTATCACAAATATGCAAAAGTAGAGAAAATTAGAAAGGGGGCAAATACATTTTCATAGCACTGTATATGAAAATGTTACCAACTACATAGGTCAGGATAAAAACTAACATTAAAAAAAAAAAAAATTGTCATTTAGCAGACGCTCTTATCCAGAGCGACTTACAGTAAGTGAGTGCATACATTTATTTTTTCATACTGGCCCCCCGTGGGAATCGAACCCACAACCCTGGCGTTGCAAGTGCCATGCTCTACCAACTGAGCTACACAGGGTCCAGGTCCTTAACAGCACAGGTCCTTTAATATTTGGTATGAAAACCAGTGCGTTTTTTTTTTAAACCTTTATTTAACTAGGCAAGTCAGTTAAGAAGTGGTCCTCTGTAGCTCAGCTGGTAGAGCACGGCGCTTGTAACGCCAAGGTAGTGGGTTCGATCCCCGGGACCACCCATTCACAAAAGAAATTATGCACGCATGACTGTAAGTTGCTTTGGATAAAAGCGTCTGCTAAATGGCATATTATTATTATTAAGAACAAATTCTTATTTACAATGACGGCCTACCAAAAGGCAAAAGGCCTCCTGCGGGGACAGGGGCTGGGATAAAAAAATATAGGACAAAACACACATCACGACGAGAGACACCCCAACACTACATAAAGAGAGACCTAAGACAACAACATAGCATGGCAGCAACACATGACAACACAGCATGGTAACATAGCAACACCACATGACAACAACATGGTAGCAACACAACATGGCAGCAGCACAACATGGTAGCAGCACAAAACATGGTACAAAAATGTTTTGGGCACAGACAACAGCACAAAGGCAAGAAGGTAGACACAACAATACATCACGCGAAGCAGCCACAACTGTCAGTAAGAGTGTCCATGATTGAGTCTTTGAATGAAGAGATGGAGATAAAACTGTCCAGTTTGAGTGCTTTTTGCAGCTCGTTCCAGTCGCTAGCTGCAGCGATGTAGCTGAAATGGAACTTCCGACTTTCTTGCCCAGCAACGGTTTTCCTACTTTAGGGATGTGCATATCATACTCGCTTGCTTCACAGTCTTACCTGTGTGTGTGTGTGTGTGTGTGTGTGTGTGTGTGTGTGTGTGTGTAAGGTGTGCGCACAGGTGTGTGTAAAGTCTTACCTGTGTATCAACGTCCAGTAGACGTACAGCCTTGTCGCTGACCTGAAGCAGCATCTCCTGGGTCCAGATTTTGTCTTTAGAGTCCAGCAGGCCCAGTTTCTTAATGGCATCGTCCACTGTAGCGATGGACTCTGTCTTGTCCATCATGAAGGTGGACAGGTGCTGGGGGGAGAGAGAGAGAGGGTTAGACAACAAAGAGGAAGACTGCCGGCTGCTGTTGAAGAAGAAGTAGTTTATCAGTTATCAGAACTTAGGCAACATGCGTCTTCCTGGGCCTCAGTTTCCTAAACATAGAGACAGATAGAGGACTCTTTATATCATTATAGCCATTATAGCGTGATAGGCATGAGTACTCAAGTACTCGAACAGATGTCAAATCTCGATCTTTAACCAGAGGTCTTTTTTTTCAAATATTGTAAAACTATTTGGTGGAATGTGCTTTGTGGCTGCCCGAACAGGGAAGTTACATTTTGCCTTGAATTGCACGCTCCTTCAAATCTTGAGACATCTGTGGCATTGTGTTGTGTGACAAAAATGCACATTTTTAGAGTGGCCTTTAATTGTCCCCAACACAAGGTGCACCTGTGTAATGACCTTGCTGTTTAATCAGCTTCTTGATATGCCACACCTGTCAGGTGGATGGATTATCTTGCTAAGGAGAAATGCTCACCAACACGGATGTAAACAAATTTGTGCAACATTTTAGATAAATAAGCTTTTTGTGGGTATGGAACACTTCTGGGATATTTTAGTTCAGCTCATGAAACACGGGACCAACACTTCACATGTTGCGTTTATATTTTTGTTCAGTGTATATTGAAGAGGGTGGGGCTCAAGCAGCATCCCTGTCTCACCCCACATCCCTCAGGAAATAAATGTGTGTTTATTGTCAATTTGAACTGCACACTTGTTGTTTGTGTACATTGATTTTATAACGTCATATGTATTTACCCCAACACTGCTTTCCATCAATTTGTATAGCAGACCCATATTCCAAATTAAGACAAAAGCTTTTTTGTAATCAAGAAGACTTTCTTCTGTTTTGGTTTGTTTGTATGTCGATAATTGTGTGCGTGGTCTGTCGTACTGTATTTTGGTGAGAAGATTTGCAGATTTGATATTTGTTTTTACTGAGGAAATGTTGGAGACTGCTGTTGATACTGCAGATTATTTTTCAGAGATGCAGATTCCATGGTAATAATTGGAGTCAAATTTTTCTCCACTTTTGTGGATTGGGATGATCAGTCCTTGGTTCTAAATTTTGGGGAAGATGCCACAGCTGAGGATGATGTTAAAGAGTTTAAGTATAGCCAATTGGAATTTGTGGTCTGTATATTTTATCATTTCATTGAGGATACCGTCAACACCACAGGCCTTTTTGGGTTGGAGGGTTTGTATTTTGTCCTGTAGTTCATTCAATATAATTGGAGAAGTGGTTTATCCATACATCTCTATTTTGGATCGGTACCGTAGCGCTTCGTTTTGTGTGTTAAGCCATAAGCCCCCTCCAACGTTGTTTTTAGAGAATTTGTCAGTACGTCCAACCGGCCTCACAACCACAGACCACGTACGTGTATGGCGTTGTGTGGGTGAGCGGTTTGCTGATGTCAACGTTGTGAACAGAGTGCCCCATGGTGGCAATGGGGTTATGGTATGGGTTGGCATAACCTACGGACAACGAACATAATTGCATTTTAGCGATGGCAATTTGAATGTACAGAGATACCACGACAAGAGCCCATTGTTGTGCCATTCATCCGCTCCCACCACCTCATGTTTCAGCATGATAATGCCGGGCCCCATGTTTCAAAGAACTATACACAATTGCTGGAAGCTGAAAATGTCCCAGTTATTCCATGGCCTGCATACTCACCAGACATGTCACGCATTGAGCATGTTAGGGATGCTCTAGTTCAACGTGTACGACAGCGTGTTTTAGTTCCCGCGAATATCCAGCAACTTCGCACAGCCATGTTGATGTTTTGTTCCCCGAGCCACTTAGTTATCACTTTTTCCTTATGGCAAGGTGCTCCATCATGCTGGAAAAGGCATTGGTCGTCACCAAACTGTTCTTGGATGGTTGGGAGAAGTTGCTCTCGGAGGATGTGCTGGTACCATTCTTTATTCATGGCTGTGTTCTTAGGCAAAAATGTGAGTGAGCCCACTCCCTTGGCTGAGAAGCAACCCCACACATGAATGGACTCAGAATGCTTTACTGTTGGCACGACACAGGACTGATGGTAGCGCTTACCTTGTCTTCTCCAGACAAGGTGTTTTCCAGATGCCCCAAACAATCGGAAAGGGGATTCATCAGAGAAAATGACTTTACACCAGTCCTCAGCAGTCCAATCCCTACACCTTTTGCAGAATATCAGTCTGTCCCTGATGTTATTCCTAGAGAGAAGTTGCTTCTTTGCTGCTCTTCTTGACACCAGGCCATCCTCCAAAAGTCTTGCCTGCTGCCATTCCTCAGCAAGCAAAGCGGCAGCTCTAGCCTTTAGCTCGGTGCGGATGTTGCCTGTAATCCATGGCTTCTGGTTGGGGTATGTACGCACGTCACTGTGGGGACGACATCATCGATGCACTTATTGATAAAGCCGGTGATGGAGGTGGTCTACTCCTCAATGCCATTGGATGAATCCCGGAACATATTCCAGTCTGTGATAGCAAAACAGTCCTGTAGCATAGCATCCACGTCATCTGACCACTTCCGTATTGAGCGAGTCACTAGTACTTCCTGCTTTCATTTTTTGCTTGTAAGCAGGAATCAGGAGGATAGAATTATGGTCAGATTTGCCAAATGGAGGGCGAGGGAGAGCTTTGTATTAGTCTCTCTGTGTGGAATAAAGGTGGTCTAGAGGTTTTCCCCCTCTGGTTGCACATGTGACAGAAATTAGGTAAAACTGATTTAAGTTTGCCTGCATTAAAGTCCCCGGCCACTAGGAGCGCCGCTTCTGGATGAGCATTTTCTTGTTTGCTTATGGCCTTATACAGCTTGTTGAGTGCGATCATAGTGCCAGCATCGGTTTGTGGTGGTAAATAGACGGCTACGAAAAATATAGATGAAAAAGCTCCTGGTAGATTTTATTTCACCTTTTATTTAACCAGGTAAGAAGCCAGTTGAGAACAAGTTCTCATTTACAACTGCGACCTGGCCAAGCTAAAGCAAAGCAGTGCGGTAAAATCAACAACAACACAGAGTTACATATGGGATAGTGTGGTCTATAGCTTATCATGAGGTACTCTACCTCAGGCGAGCAATATCTCGAGACTTCTTTTAATATTAGACATCGGGCACCAGCTGTTATTGACAAATAGACACAACCCCGCCCCTCGTCTTACCAGACGTAGCTGCTCTGTCCTGCCGATGCACAGAAAACACAGCCAGCTCTATATTATCCGTGTCGTCGTTCAGCCACGACTCGGTGAAACATAAGATATTACAGTTTTTAATGTCCTGTTGGTAGGATAGTCTCGAACGGAGATCATCCAGTTTATTTTCCACGTTGGCTAATAGAACGGATGGTAGAGGCGGGTTACCCACTCACCGACAAATTCTCCCAAGGCACCCCGATCTCCGACTCCCCTGTATTTCCGTCTTTTCTTCATGCGAATTACGGGGATTTGGGCTTGGAATCGGAGAAGCAGTATATCCTTCGCATCGGACTCACTAAAGAAAAAATCCTCATCCAGTTTGAGATGAGTAATCGCTGTTCTGATAACCAGAAGCTCTTTTCGGTAATAAGAGATGGTAGCAGCAACATGATGTATTAAATAAGTTACAAACGATGCAAAAAATAATAATAAAAATAGCACAGTTGGTTAGGAGCCCGTAAAACGGCAGCCATCCCCTCCGGCGCCATACTCGTTACATTTCAAATGACAAATTGTCTAATTCACACACTTATCAAGAGAACATCCCTGGTCATCCCTACTGATGATCTGGCGGACTCACTAAACACACATGCTTTATTTGTAAATTATGTCTGAGTGTTGGAGCATGCCCCTAGCTATCCGTAAATTTAAAAAACAAGAAAATGGTGCCGTCTGGTTTGCTTAATATAAAGAATTTGAAATTATTTATACATGTACTTTTGATACTTAAGTATATTTAAAACCAAATACTTTTAGACTTTTACTCAAGTAGGATTTTAATGGGTGATTTTTACTTTTACTTGAGACCTTTTCTATTAAGGTATCTTTACTTTTTCCACCGCTGATCTCAGGGACTGTCAGTACTTGAACCATAGCTCCATCTATTCATTTGAGAGTGGTTACACTTCCTTAGCCTCATCCCTAAACTTGAAAGCAAACCAAGAGGCGGGGCTGACGTGAAAATTTAAGACTGTGCCTTTAAATTCCCTCTCTGACTCACCTCACATACTCTGCCCACGTTAGATAAATGTTGCGGTCGGTCGTGAGGTAATCAACTGGACTGATTGCTTTATTACAACCCCTGGGCCTTTAAATGGCATACCATCAAATATTAACCCATGTATGTGCCAACCAACCTTTGTGTTTTAGGGAGGGGGAGGCATACACACTATAGTTCATTTAAGTACAAAATGCTGCAAACTAGTAATACTATCATCAATCAACATGGAGTCAGAGCAGATTTGAGCTTCTAGGTTCTTTTCACACGCCCCATACGAGATGAAAGCCCGACAGACACTAGTAAAAAAGACATCATCATGATTATCTCAATTAAAAATAGACATGGTAGAACAGAGAGGAACAAAAAAAGTCTTACCTCCACATGGTACTGAGACGTCTCCTGCATGATAACATTGGAGTTGGAGTATTTCTTCCGTTGCTCTGTGAAGTAAAGTAAAAACAGATCAGGTCTACTAACAACAACCAAAACACACCCACTGTCGTATCCACGGTTACAGTGTATCCAGAGCAGAAAGGTTATATCCACAGTGACTGTAAGAAGCCTGCCCTGGGTATTCACTGACCTCGGGTCCACATGTTCTGTTGCACTGAGCCCAGGTCTACACTTTACAGGTGGCAGAGGAGACGGAGATACGATATGGAGGGACAGAGAGGAAAGGAAAGCTAGCGGAGTAGAGAGAGTGAGTGAGTGAGTGAGTGAGTGAGTGAGAGAGAGAGAGAGAGAGAGAGAGAGAGAGAGAGAGAGAGAGAGAGAGAGAGAAAGAGAGAGAGACAGAGGAGATTGAGAGAGAGAGAGAGAGAGAGAGAGAGAGAGAGAGAGAGAGAGAGAGAGAGAGAGAGAGAGAGAGAGAGAGAGAGAGAGAGAGAGAGAGAGAGGGGCGGGTAAATCTAGTGGAGCTGCCAGCAATAAGAAGGTGAAAGGACAATAATATAAGGTGTGCGCATGCAAAGGGCACACACACATAGGGGAAAACACACACCCTACACTACCTCTCACCCCTCTGCTTTAACCGCATTGTAAAGGTGAATATCTTATTGCATGTAAAGTCAAATAACATCTCAACTTCCCTCCACGTCCCAAATGGCACCCTATTCCCAACAGTGCACTCATTTTGACCAGAGTTCTATGGGCACTGTATAGGGAATAGGGTGCCATTTGGGACAAATCCTACAGTGCATTCGGAAAGTATTCAGACTTTTTCCACATTTTGTTATGTTACAGCCTTATTAATCTACACACAATGCCCCATAATGACAAAGCAAAAACAGGTTTAGATATTTTTGCAAATGTATTACAAATAAAAAACGGAAATATTGCATTTACATAAGTATTCAGACCCTTTACTCAGTACTTTGTTGAAGCACCTTTTGGCAGCGATTACAGCCTTGAGTCTTCTTGGGTATGACGCTACAAGCTTGACACACCTGTATTTGGGGAGTTTCTCCCATTCTTCTCTGCAGATCCTCTCAAGCTCTGTCAGGTTGGATGGGGAGCGTCGCTGCACAGCTATTTTCAGATCTCTCCAGAGATGTTCGATCGGGTTCAAGTCCGGGCTCTGGCAGGGCCACTCAAGGACATTCAGAGGCTTGTCCCGAAGCCACTCCTGCGTTGTCTTGGCTGTGTGCTTAGGGTCATTGTCCTGTTGGAAGGTGAACCTTCACGCCAGTCTGAGGTCCTGAGCACTCTGGAGCAGGTTTTCATCAAGGATCTCTCTGTACTTTGCTCCATTCATCTTTCCCTCGATCGTGACTAGTCAGTCCCTATCGCTGAAAAACATCCCCACAGCATGATGCTGCCACCACCATGTTTCACAGTAGGGATGGTGCCAGGTTTCCTCCAGACGTGACGCTTGGCATTCAGGCCAAAGAGTTCAATCTTGGTTTCATCAGACCAGAGAATCTTGTTTCTCATGGTCTGAGAGTCCTTTAGGTGCCTTTTGGCAAACTCCAAGCGGGCTGTCATGTGCCTTTTACTGAGGAGTAGCTTCCGTCTGGCCACTCTACCATAAAGGCCTGATTGGTGGAGTGCTGCAGAGATGGTTTTACTTCTGGAAGTTTCTCCCATCTCCACAGAGAACTCTGGAGCTCTGTCAGAGTGACCATCGGGTTCATGGTCACCTCCCTGACCAAGGCCCTTCTCCCCCGATTGCTCAGTTTTGCCGGGCAGCGAGCTGTAGGAAGAGTATTGGTGGTTTCAAACTTCTTCCATTTAAGAATGATGGAGGCCACTATGTTCTTGGGGACCTTCAATGCTGCAGACATTTTTTGGTACCCTTCCCCAGATCTGTGCCTTGACACAATCCTGTCTCGGAGCTCTACGGACAATTCCTTTGACCTCATGGCTTGGTTTTTGCTTTGACATGCACTGTCAACTGTGGGACCTTATATAGACAGGTGTGTGCCTTTCCAAATCATGTCCAATCAATTGAATTTACAACAGGTGGACTCAATCAAGTTTTAGAAACATCTCAAGGATGATCAATAGAAACAGGATTCACCGGAGCTCCATTTTGAGTCTCATAGCAAAGGGCTACTTATGTAAATAAGGTACAGTGGGGAGAACAAGTATTTGATACACTGCCGATTTTGCAGGTTTTCCTACTTACAAAGCATGTAGAGGTCTGTAATTTTTATCATAGGTACACTTCAACTGTGAGAGACGGAATATAAAACAAAAATCCAGAAAATCACATTGTATGATTTTTAAGTAATTCATTTGCATTTTATTGCATGACATAAGTATTTGATACATCAGAAAAGCAGAACTTAATATTTGGTACAGAAACCTTTGTTTGCAATTACAGAGATCATACGTTTCCTGTAGGTCTTGACCAGGTTTGCACACACTGCAGCAGGGATTTTGGCCCACTCCTCCATACAGACCTTCTCCAGATCCTTCAGGTTTCGGGGCTGTCGCTGGGCAATACAGACTTTCAGCTCCCTCCAAAGATTTTCTATTGGGTTCAGGTCTGGAGACTGGCTAGGCCACTCCAGGACCTTGAGATGCTTCTTACGGAGCCACTCCTTAGTTGCCCTGGCTGTGTGTTTCGGGTCGTTGTCATGCTGGAAGACCCAGACACGACCCATCTTCAATGCTCTTACTGAGGGAAGGAGGTTGTTGGCCAAGATCTCGCGATACATGGCCCCATCCATCCTCCCCTCAATACGGTGCAGTCGTCCTGTCCCCTTTGCAGAAAAGCATCCCCAAAGAATGATGTTTCCACCTCCATGCTTCACGGTTGGGATGGTGTTCTTGGGGTTGTACTCATCCTTCTTCTTCCTCCAAACACGGCGAGTGGAGTTTAGACCAAAAAGCTATATTTTTGTCCCATCAGACCACATGACCTCCTATTCCTCCTCTGGATCATCCAGATGGTCATTGGCAAACTTCAGACGGGCCTGGACATGCGCTGGCTTGAGCAGGGGGACCTTGCGTGCGCTGCAGGATTTTAATCCATGACGGCGTAGTGTGTTACTAATGGTTTTCTTTGAGACTGTGGTTCCAGCTCTCTTCAGGTCATTGACCAGGTCCTGCCGTGTAGTTCTGGGCTGATCCTTCACCTTCCTCATGATCATTGATGCCCCACGAGGTGAGATCTTGCATGGAGCCGCAGACCGAGGATGATTGACCGTCATCTTGAACTTCTTCCATTTTCTAATAATTGCGCCAACAGTTGTTGCCTTCTCACCAAGCTGCTTGCCTATTGTCCTGTAGTCCATCCCAGCCTTGTGTAGGTCTACAATTTTATCCCTGATGTCCTTACACAGCTCTCTGGTCTTGGCCATTGTGGAGAGGTTGGAGTCTGTTTGATTGAGTGTGTGGACAGGTGTCTTTTATACAGGTAACGAGTTCAAACAGGTGCAGTTAATACAGGTAATGAGTGGAGAACAGGAGAGCTTGTTAAAGAAAAACTAACAGGTCTGTGAGAGCCGGAATTCTTACTGGTTGGTAGGTGATCAAATACTTATGTCATGCAATAAAATGCAAATGAATTACTTAAAAATCATACAATGTGATTTTCTGGATTTTTGTTTTAGATTCCGTCTCTCACAGTTGAAGTGTACCTATGATAAAAATTACAGACCTCTACATGCTTTGTAAGTAGGAAAACCTGCAAAATCGGCAGTGTATCAAATACTTGTTCTCCCCACTGTATTTCAGTTTTTTATATTTAATACATTTGCAAAAATTTCTAAAAACTTGTTTTCACTTTGTCATTATGGGGTATTGTGTGTAGATTGATTAGGAAAACAATTAATTTAATCAATTTTAGAATAAAACGTTACAAAATGTGGAAAAAGTCAAGGGGTCTGAATACTTTCCGAATGCACTGTATAGCTCAGCTGTACATTCAGTTGATCAACCCCATCATTCAAAACGATCTAATCTAACAACATGAAAAAATATTTTGACAATCTACAGCAGGGATCATCAACTAGATTCAGCGGCGGGCCGATTTGATTCTTGAGCGAATGGTCGGAGGGCCGGAACATAATTACAAATCATTTGTTATATTGCAATTTGACCGCAAGAATCCCAAAAAGATAATTTCAAACCTTGCTTACATTTTTGTAGACGATCACGTGTCTCTCTATTATGCGTGGGAATACTTGAACAGATTTCCAAAATTAAAATCACTTGGAGCTGATTTTGTTTTTACAGTCTTTTATGTCCGACAAAAAAAAAAAAAAAAAAAAAAAAAATACATTGTATTTTTTGCTCAGATAAACTTCGGGGGGCCAAATAAATCAACCCTCGGGCCGCCAGTTGGGGAACCCTGATCTACAGTAGGCTACTGCACTTAAACCAGCTTTGGTAAACTATAGATTACTAATTCTATTTCTATGGTTGGGAAGAAAAAAAAACACCATATAAGTCTAACACCATGATATATTGTCTAAAAGTGGCACCACTCTGAAGCACAGAGTAGGCTTTGGGGTTAAAGTGCAGTCACTATAGTCAAAACGTGTATTCCCAGCAGCTTTACTTCCTGGTCAATGCTGTGATAGTGATCCACTCACTGTGTGTTGTCTTGCTACCGAGATAAACGTTGTTACCTAGGATTTTTTTAAATGAATGATTGGTCGACTCGAGGCAGACCTAATATCAATATCAACCTAATATCAACTTTTTTTGTCAAAATGCTTGACAAAAAGTCATTACCCACTGGGCACACACTGGATGAATCGACGTGGAATAGACGTTGAACTGACGTCTGTGCCCAGTGGGTAGTGAGATACATTGCATAATATATAGATACTATAATCTGTCCAGTGATTAGCATTGGGCATTTGCTGAGTTGTGTTTGATTCAGTAATGTTAAATGAGTGAGGTAGTGATTTATTGAGGATGGTTTTGAGGTTCATTGACCTATTCTTCTGGTGAGCGGTCTACAGGTGTAACAATTACAGCTAAAAGCAGTCAGGTTTCAGCACCACGTAAATGACAGAGTTGTTGCTATCAGCTCTCCAACTACAGCCAGAATCCACTGTCAACTCTCTGTCCTCTCTAGTCGACAGTCCCCCTCCCAGAATCCACTCTCTGTTCTCTCTAGTCGACAGTCCCCCTCCCAGAATCCACTATCTGTTCTCTCTAGTCTACAG